CCATGGCTAATACTATGGCCAGATTCACAGCGTGAACTAGCGGACTTAACACTTCTTTCGAAAATAAGTTAGTTTCTATCTGATATACAATCACTTCACAATGTTTTCCTTCACTATCATCTTAAGTATCATCAATCACATTAATCTTGTTGAACCCGCACTACTTTGTATTCATATCAATTCTATAAAAATGGTAAAGTTAAGTATTTAAAAACTAAATAATCGAGTTTTCTTCTCAGTTCTCGAATAAAAATTAAGTTATTGAATTCGAATATTCGGAATTCCACAATATCGATTGCTTTCCATTTCGTTGCATTGAAGTTACCGATTTCTTTTACCACTGTAGAAGATCTTAATTATAAAAATATCTATATAAGAGTTTCATATGAAGTATAAGGCCCTTAAATATCGAAGAAAGTAAAGGCGTAAATATTTGCAACCAGTTTACACAAAAGTTATGCAGTTCCGCTCCACATTGAATAAATTGAGCTTGTAGAAAACAGCTGATTTGACTGTAGTTCATGGAGAGAAATTGTGTAATACGATAAATATTTTAGTATATTCAATATGTTTTACATTATTTATTACAATAAATCTTATGTACTTAGAACATCAATGATGATGATGATGTTCTCCTAGCCGATTCCGGCCACGGCGGCCAATCTCATTGAGACTAGCCAACTGCGCAGGAGATATTATATGATATTATATGAATCTAGCCCTGAAATAAAAAAGATATAAAAAAACTTATAATAATTTCAATCTATACAGACAAATAAAATTGACGTGTCTGTGTGTTATGTCGATATTAATGCATATCAAAGTATATACGTTACTTATAAGAAAAACACAATTTAAAAAAAAAACTGTCTGTCTGTTTGTTTGTTCCGGCTAATCTCCGAAACGGCTGGATAGATTTTGACGGGACTTTCACTGGTATATAGATATATGATGCTATAAGGAGTAACTTAGGCTACTGTTTTTTTTTTTGAAAAACAATTAGGGTTCCAATAAAAAATTAAAACGTACCTAGGGACGAACCCGAACAAAGCGAGGGTGAGTCATTAGTTTAAGAAAATAACAATTTTATATACTCTATAATCTTATATATATCATATCATATAAGATCATAAAAAAAGTTTATGAGGAAGTGAATGTCTTTGTTAGTTTTTTATACTGTAACAGGTTAACGAATTTGAGTGAAATATTTGGAACGGAAATAGGTTATATTATGGACACATAGGCGAACGAGCAGGTCGAGGAGCCAAACCTAGTACACCAGCATTGAATTTTAAATTTTGTTCATTATTTATTAAAAATCTTACTATAACGATGAAACTCCACTTTGGTTTGACAAATTATATACAACATACTTGAAGTTGAACTGTCATCAGGTCATGAACTTTAAAGCAAAGATTTATTTGGAAACTTGTAGTCTACTACAATGCCACATTGCGGTTATGAGTCGTTTCCGCCGAGCTGTTTGTTAAAACTGCTTTTCTTGTCATAAAGATACGTTTTCATTGCACTTTTTACCCTTTAGGTACCTACGTTAAGTCTCTAATTCGTCCATGGTTAAATATTTAATTAATTAATAAATATTAATTATGTATATTTGTTAATTTAACAATTTGTTTAATATTAATAATTGGTGTATCAATTTATTTTATGCATAAATATCAAAAATTCAATCTCTTTTACTGTTTTTTAACGTTTTGTAAAATTTGACAATTTGTACTGTTTTAGTGACTAAAAATATATTTTTTTAACTCAGATGTAGAAAATATGTATAAGAAGAATATCTTTCTTTTTAAAATATCTTAATATGAGTTTACGAGCTAATAATGAAATTATAATGCTTATATTTTTATTATAAATAATTTTAATAGGAGAATATAAGATAGAAAAGTGCAATGAAAACGCAACTTTAATTTTCTTTACTTAGTTCGGAACAATATATTTGCGAACAAATACTTTGAGGTATTTGCAGTTTCTCGTTTTCGTGTTAGTGATTTACGGTTTTCAATTTGCAATAACGGCTTGAAATTCAGGTTAAGTTAAAATTACATTCAAGTTTTTACTTATCTATTTATCGTTCAACGTTGGATTTCAATAGTTTTGTTATTGAGCCAAAAATGTTGGCAAACTCCAGATATACGATAAAGTACTGAGCGACGAATAACACGTGCTACGAGAAAGTTAGTGAATTGAAAATATTTTATTTTTAGAGAAAAAACATTTATTCCTCGAAAAAGTAACTTATGTTCATGTCTTATATTTCAAGAGTTGGACACAATATATTTTATACACACATACATGGCTACGTAACGTCAAGCTATATATTATTTAACCTTACGAGGTAGTCAGAGTTATGGGGGTACGTGTTCTTCTCCTTGTTCATATCCCACACTACGTAGGGTCAAAAAACATACAGTCGAATTGAAAACCTCCTCCTTTTTGAAGTCGGTTGAAAAAAAGAAGTTTTCACATTAATACAATACAAATATGTTTGAAAAATGTGTTTAGAGATTGTTTGGATATAAAAGATTAAATAACGGCAGATGTTAAGGGTTTTGTTGGCAGTTAAGTTCAACTTATTATAATATATATTGGATCAAGTAAGTACATTTAAAAATACAGCTGGAGTTTCCCGTTACGCGTTCTCATTATTAGTTTATTGATTGTGGACTAAATAGAAATGCGGGCGTAGGCACAAACATTAACTAGTTGCTTACTTTTTAACCAAAATTCCATTCTAAGAAATAAAAAAGGTCCTCACCATATTTGAGATACGAGCAATTCATTAAAAACTACGAAAACAGTCCACAATTGTTAAAGATATTAACTACACATATACAAACACTTTTATATTTGTTTAAAAAAACGTTATATGTATGTCTGTAACATAGATCTATACTTTATAAATAGGTAAAGAAAAAATAGTTCAGAAATTGTTGTTAACCGATTTTCTTTTTTTTTTGTTTAGTAGCTATTAAAGTTTAAAAAAACTTTTTATATATAGATAGATAAATTCTATTCGTATATGTTTTCCTCGCATTTTTAATAATTATTATGCTCTAATTTCGATCACTAGGTCAACACTAGTTTATTTTAAAAAGTTAAAGTTAACATTTATAATATCTACTCTAAATGTAAATTGTATTCATTACAAAACTAGTTAAGGACAGATCTTAAAACATAAACCGGTTGCCGGTTCCTTGCATTTGAAACAAAGCAGTTATTACACTTACAATAGGATGTCCTTGCAAGGCCGTGGGCCGACGCGTAGGATTCACTTTTGTTTTGTAGGCCGTGAGAATGGTGGATATATAACACTTGACCTTAACCGGTTTCTACTATATACATAGATAATAATAATGTTATTATCTATGTATATAGATAAATACTTCACGCCATATATAATAGAAAATAGCTTATTATCTATAGTATAATAATATATTTTATAGGAATATATTATAGTTAATTGTAGATCTTAAATATTACTGATTGACTCATTATTCGTGATGACTCAATGAGCTATCTATCTAGTATGTAGAGTATGTATAGGTATCGATATATAGCGAACTAGCATTGCCCGCGGCTCCAGCTCAGATGACCAAAAACCAAATAAAATAGCGCTATTGTTATTTTTTTCAAGATATGCTATTTTTAATAGTTTTTGCCTTATTTAGTAAGATACCTTACTAAAATATATATAGTATTGCCGTGATTTTATTTTAACCAGTTTTTGTATTTTTTCTCAGAAATGAGATATTTTCCCGCGGTAAAAAGTATCCTATATATTGACCCGAATAACCAGCTATCACTATACCAAATTTTATCAAAATCTCCTCCAGTGGTTTTTCTGTGATGCGGTAACAGGCAGACAGACAGACAGACAAAAATTCTAAAAACAATAGATTCGGCCTCTGTATTGATAATAATGTCTATTTCAATAAGATTTTCCAAAAAATATTTAATGTACAGACTCGACTTAGTTAGAATTTTATTATATGTATAGAATATTCCGTAACAGCTTCTGAAATAGATGTCGTAGGTTCAAGTCCCATATATAATACGTATATAATGGTAATAAACTACCAGGTGTAATAGGTCTGTATCGCTCTTATCCTAGGAGTAGGCATATGTGTAACATAAGTTTTGAAAATGTTCTAAATAATACTAAAATTATTTGTTTTCACTATACCAGTACATTCACATAACTTTACTGTAAACAAAAATTCAAGTATCGAATGAAGCACTGAAGGTGAGGTCGCTCATATTTAAGCAATGTCAGGAAAGCATCAAGGGATTTTAAATCGTGTCCTCAGACTTCCTGCATCGCTATTACGAAGATTTATAAAACATATATGATGTAAATATACGGTATAAGTATCAATGCTCTTCAAATTTTCGACAAGTATTTAGATGCAGATTGCAACTCTACCCTATCGATTCTCACCGAAAAATCACCACTAATGAAACCTTAAACATACAAAAATAAATATCGGCTTATAAAAGGAACACATTTAAAAAAATAAAGAGAATTTAAGTCTGATATAAACGCAAATTTGATATAAAATGTATGAGTCGACATAACGTTAAACACTACGATTGTTACTTCACGTACTCTCTGCTATGTGATAGGTACAATTGCTAATTTTAACTATAATTTTTTGACAAAAAAAGCATTTACTTTTACAACTTACAGAAACTATTCAGACGTCAATAGCTATCGTCAATACTTTTTCTTTTCTTATTTTATGTAGATATTAAACTCATAACGAGTAATTTAGGTGCAGTACCTACTTACTATACATATATCTTTAGGAGTATATAACATATATAACATATTGCCCCGCTAACAATGTCCTCCACATCCATGGGATGTTGGAAGATGCATCTCTTTTACAGATCAGTCCACTTATACTAAGGTTTTTGTTAAGTCATTTCTATACTTCCTTTTTAAAGGTAAAAAAATATATAATACATATACATACCAAGGCCGCATATAAGATACGTCGGTGGAGGCTTGAGCACAGACCGGGAGTACGCCCCCCGGACGGTCTCTAACGCGCGGGGAGCCCCTGCCACTAGCAACACTCCGGGGGACACGTACCCGGCGTACCGGAGCTCTGCCGTGGCCGCTGCGAGGGCACCCGCCCACCAGCACTTCGCATTCGCTGCCAGGAAACTCTGCAACAAGATCAACGTCTTATGAATATACGTACATAATAATACTTTTATAAATGCGAAAGTTTCTTCACGATAATACGGTTGTACAGATTTGATTTTTTTGTTAACAGACCTGGAGTAACATATAAGCTTTAACTTTTAGACACCTAAGTAGGTATGCGCTTATGGAGCGAAAGCTCCGACAGCTAAGTAAATACTTAAATCTCGAAAAAAACCAATGGATACTTTACGCTAGTTGTATCAAACCTACTATCTAAATGGAATAAATTATTATTATGTATTTATTAATAGAAGCCATTCTCACAATATAAAAAAAATCCTTAATAAATGAATGCATAGCATAAAACCGCTTTCATTTTCAATTAAATCTTATAGGAATTAAAAGAAAGTTTAAAAATGGATTAAATATTTAACTTAAGTAACAACACATGACAATTTTACATATTGCATTATGCGATGGCTCACGTGTAAGTGTACTCAGCGATGCATGGACCGCCCGCGTGTGGACACATGACGGGTCTGTTATTTCTTGCAATGATTTGCTTTATCTACAGCATTCTTAACTAGCTACATTTTAATCTTTCGAAAACCAAATGACTTATTTTTTTGGTGTCACTTATATTTTTCCCGTTTCCTCTGGTTTGTTAATTCACAAGATCTAATCGAATACTTCTATTATAATTTAAATTATTAAGACTATATTTACATTATCAAGAAAGTGAATATTCATTTCTCCAAAGCTGCACGATATTTGTGATTCTCCTTGACCTGCACCCGTTTGGCATTTCGTGTTTTGCAATATAAGTACACTTCGCCCTGCACTCAAATAGCAATTACATTTAAAGCTGAACAATTCAATTATAATACCTTATAATACCTTATATATTATTACGCCTTCATGTAAATGAGAAGTTCAGGATATTTGATGTTATAACTTTAATAGGTCATAACGTTATCTATACATACCTTTAATAAAATTCTAACTAAGTCGAATCTGTACATTAAATATTTTTTGGAAAATCTTATTGAAATAGTCATTATTATCGATATAGAGGCCAAATCTATAGTTTTTAGAATTTTTGTCTGTCTGTCTGTCTGTCTGTCTGTCTGTTACTGCATCACGGAAACACCACTGGCGGGATTTTGATGAAATTGGTATGATGATAGCTGATTATCCGGGTCAACATATAGGATACTTTTTACCGCGGGAAAATATCTCATTTCAGAGAAAAAATACAAAAACTGTATGTAAGAGTATACTAATATGTATAACCTAAGAATTTGGTTTTTGGTCATCGGAACGCGGGCGGAGCCGCGGGCAATGCTGGTTACATTATAATTTATTATTGTAACTACTATGGTACTTAAAGTTACTATTGTTGCTTAAAAAAAAACCAAATAATGTGACATTTTCCCTTGTTGTTGGCAACATTGGCGAAAAAATTTTGTCCAACTGATACCTTTAAAAGCCAAAAAATTATAAATTACATAGATTAATTAATCTAACGTATTAACTTTTTATTTGTAACTTACAAAAAATATAAATATACTTTAGAATACTCTTTGTAAAGAGAAAATCGAATGACATGTTTTATAAAAATGTGTGTTCTTTATTACGAGTTGCATGTATGGCAATTCCAACTATACAATTTACAAGTTAAGTATCCCAGATCAGACTAGATCGCGTGAGAAGAGCTGAAATATTAATTTTCATACAAGAAAAAACTGTACTTTCTTCATATTACACATGAATAATTTGAGGTGCGAATTGATTTTACAAGCTATTATCCGGATGGATAGTATTGTTTATTTTTAATCTATATAAATAAAAATGTATCACCGAAATGTATGTACGCGCATAACTTCGAATCGACTGCACCAAATTGGATAATTCTTTTTTTTTGTGTTCGTTATTGCCAGGAAAAGCTTTGTAAAGAAGAATATTAAAATATATTTTTTTTACTAAAATAACTTTTTTTTAAATCTCATGGTATGAAAAGTGAGTGAGTGAAATAGATTTTTCCCGGAAATCATCCCTTAAGGAGGAGAGAATGGGAATGAAAGTTTGTATTGGGAAGAAAGTTGAGTCGCTAGTAAATAATAAAATATTCATCTACGCTCTTTCAGATTCTTAATTAAAACTATAAGTACTGTAAGTAGTTATGTCAAGTTTTAGTGCCAAAGCCGAGTCAAACAATTTATTTTATGACTATAATATAATTAAGATAGATGAAATAACAAGAAAAACTTCATATTAAATTTTATATTGTATAACTGTTTTTATTGTATAAGTGTTTGTGTACGAAGAAATATCATTTAAGTTTTTTCGATACAAAATATTCCAATACCTAAAAAGTTCAAAGTAGAATTTAATTTAGCAGGTATTTAGTCAAGTGCTTACTCGAATGGCGTTTTGTAGCAAAAAATAACATCATAACTACAAGAAATAAAACGATTGGACATATTTCAAGTTTTAAAAGCAAGTCATGTGCACATCAAGTAAGGTTAGAATAAAACCTCTCTTTCACACTAATATATTATTTAAAATTATTGTCAAAAAGATTATATTTGCTTGAATCTAATACTTGACATATCTAACATAAGTACTAACTTGATGTCATCGTGTAATATATCCAATTTTGTATGATGTCATGCAGAAGGTTTAATTTTATTATAGGTACATGGCAGAGGTCATTCACATAATCATAAGGTGAAAACCACTTCATAGTTCACTCAAATATTCTGTAGTATTTAAGTTTCTAAGCTCTAAAATTCAGTTCATAACCCTTAAAAATGAAACACTAAATAACAATAATTCTATAACAAATTAATGTCCCATGGGAACTTCTAAATCTATTGGGATAAACAATATATAAGAAATAAATTACGCTGACCGGTTGCTTCGTTGCTGCATGACAAAAAAAATCATCCCATTACAAACTTTCATCCCCATTTTCACCCCCTTAAGGGATTATTTGCGGGATACAAATGAAAAAAATCCTATGTCCTTCCGAGGGTGTCAAACTATCTTCTTACCAAATTTCACCTAAAGTGATTCAGTAGATCCAGAGATTACCCCCTACAACGTCACAAACTCACAAACTTTACCACTTTATAATATTAGTATAGACTCGTGATCTAGGTAATGAATATTGTAGACTGAAGCTATTTTCGATAAACTTACTATTTTGGATAATATATCTTTCTAATTGTTAAAGAATTATTAGTAACCATCGGTTCAGTAATTTCGGAGTTCATCAATTATAAACAAACAAATCTTTTTTTCTTTATAATATTAGTATAAATATAGATTGGTCAACTAAAGACAATTTTGTTATTAATATATTTCTATTAAAGTTGTTAGATAGGTATGTCTGCCCAGTTATTATTCATTGTACATTAACATATTATGATAGTTTAAACGTAAAAAATTATTAAAAATTTTATGGTGTTAAAATTATTTATGTATTGTTTACTCACATTTCGCTTCCGCATTATTACGTGCTCTGTTAACTTAATGGTATCATAAAATTCAAGCAAAAATTAAATATGATGTTTAGACTAAATAATATGGATCTTAAGAAATGGTAATTCTATTACACACGCCGTAACTTTAGAAATAAATAAATATGTTGGGACATTAACACACATCACCATCTAGTTCCATGGTAAGCTACGAGGCTTGTATTATAGATACCATATAGTTGATACACTACATACATATAACTTTAAATACATATATACATATTATAAATATAAACACCCATGACTGGAGTACAAACATTCGTGCTCATCATACAAATGAATGCCTCTAGCCGGCTTCGAACCCACGACCGCTGGCACACCAAATAGGGTCACTACAAACTGAACCAAACGTGACATCGAACTTTGTCTCATTATTTTGTTAGTAAAAGCTATGCTTAATAAATTGCATAACATTAGTATTTTGTAAAATCAGGAAAACCAGTACATTTTACGATAGTATTCTAAGACAAGCAAGATATACGTTGGACATTATTAGTCTGCCTATTTTGCGTAATTTAACCTTCGGTGGGCATTCCATGCCACTTGGGAAATAGTTAATATAAGATACAGCTCAGTAAGTTACCAGATATTGCGTAACCTGGAATTTACTGAAGAGTCTAAATCTATATCATAACAAACATTCGTAACATGATATTCTATAAATTATAATTATAACGAGTATAATAATAATAATATAATTTCCTATAAATTAAAGGAATAGGTAAATTTATGTATAATAAAGAGCTTTGCTTTGCACAAGATAGTTCCTTAAATCATTTTTATGAAGACATATTTTAACTTTCCTTTTAATTAACATATGACCGAAGTAATTTAAATAAAACTTAGTAATTATTAAGTAATTAAAAATGGCAACCTAATCTATACATATAATAAAATTGTAGCTAAGCCGAATCTGTACATTAGATATTTTTTGGAAAATCTTATTGAAATTATTATCGATACAGAGGCCGAATCTATAGTTTTTAGAATTTTTGTCTGTCTGTCTGTTACCGCATCACAGAAAAACCACTGGAGGGATTTTGATGAAATTTGGTATGGTGATAGCTGGTTATCCGGGTCAACATATAGGATACTTTTTACCGCGGGAAAATATCTCATTTCTGAGAAAAAACACAAAAACTGCACTGTAAGAGTATACTAATATGTAAAACCTAAGAATTTGGTTTCTGGTCATCTGAACGCGGGCGGAGTCGTGGGCAATGCTAGTTCATTAAATAAAGTATGTCATCCTTAAAGGCGGAATTAAAAAATAAATCTATCTATCATCGAAGATATCGTGTAACATATAACAATCATGTCGCTCACATAAGTTCAACGGATATATCTGTATAATTTCATACAGTAAGTTATGGTAACAAGTCAGGATCTCACGGGAACCGCGGCAATGACTGATGCATGACGCGCACAACGTTTGCTTGTGCAGTGAAAACTCTCAAGATCAAGATAATAGTGGC